CGGCCATGTTGTTTATCCGATCAGTCTCAAAAGTTGCCCTGCACAGCTTAGGACCAAGGGGAACCTACATATAAAATTTGAGAAAGATCCCTCTGGTACTTCTTGAGAAATAGCGATAACAAGAACTGTTTACGGACGGACGAACGACCACGGACGTAGGGTGATTTGAATAGCCCACCATCAGATGATGGTGGGCTAAAAATAGACCCTGACTATCATAATATTTATGACAGTGTTCTCATTTTAAGACATGATTTTCATCACAGATTCAACTGAAATCTGTGGGACTACTTGCACACAATGTTGTGATTTAAAAAAACACCTAACAGAGACTTCCATTGATATTTTCTTCCTGGACAGCTTACTAAAAACCGTTCCACACTTGAAGCTCTTTGTTAAGTATCAACAACGTCATTAGCTTTCCCCTTCATATGAATTTCACAAGAAACGTAGGCACATGAAATATACCCCTCGACAACTAATAGCTAACTATGTTTGTATATTACTGTGCTATTTTCAGCCCGAAACATCCTAATTTTAACAGCACTACACTTTGAAGTACAACTGTTTGTGTGATATCAAATGGCACAGCTCCAGGACATTAACTTCAAGACCCTGTCTTAATGGTGGCAAACAGAAAAATGAAAACTGCCCCTCCTTAATGATTTCATTAGCAGCTTTTTTTTTATATTTCATGATAGTTGTTCATAAATTTAGAAAATAGTTTACAATTTTTGTAAGTGTTGCTTTTGATAAAGAAAATGACAAACTATATATTCCTTGGGGAATATGTAGGAGTGTTGCTGTACACTGACAGCAAAACGGTTCTACATCTGCAGTAAGAGAGATGATTCTACTGTTGTAATCACATCCAGGAACAAAAAGTACCGGTATTCCAAAAATTAAATTCTGTTTGCTTTACCCTAAAGCCATCCATCATATGAGCACAACAGTAACTTGTGAAGAGCTGTTGGCCCTTAGGTAAATACATCAGCAAACGGAACACAAGTAATTAGTGTTACAACTTGCCTCCGTTAACAAAGTAACACAATTACAGTTACAGCAGCTTCGCACAACACTGCAACAAACATCTATCTAATTAAATGCTTGCGTACTATTTATATTACTGGTTTTAAGAACCCTATCTAAAATCAATTAAGGAAGTGTACAGACGGTGAGGTAAATCTCAGCACTACCACTTACAATTAAGAGGCCTCCTTTACCGCAGAATTACGTATGTCACCCGGAACAGTGATACCTGGCATGGGATCCGAGTTAAGACATTACTATGATAATTCCTAAAATTATTTATGGTAATTATATAATTTCATTAAGTTGTTGGAAACACTACTATGAACCAAATTTGACATAATATGGATGCCTGCTCTAATAAATGAACCGGCAGGGATTGAAAAAGTGTAACTTAATTCTTATTGTAAAGTTCTACATTTTGTTCCGTTCCAGATTTTATAATTTCTGGAAGTTACCCAGTTAGTTCCAGCAAATTCTGACACCAACACTGCACTGTATTATTAAGTGTTATTAGAGAGAAAACCAAGCTCCCATAGAACATTATCTATAAATAGACTGACCAATGAATGCTTTCAGAGTAATGTACCACCTTGTCAACTCCACCTTGGAGTGGGATTACGATACCTCAATGTCTCTGCCACATAGTGGGAAAATAGTAAAAAACATCAGGTATTTTGTTTGAGGAAAGATGCATCCAAATAAATGCTCCCAAAATGTCATTTTACCTGGCCCTGGAACTCTGATTTAATAAAGTATGGTACTATTAAAAGCATTGCTGAAGGTCTCACTGTGATCAAACTACATTTATTGACATGCATATGGTACTCTAGATCTACACACTGGAGTTCCAATGATCAAACTATACTCTGTTCTAGCTGTCAGCAATTATAAAGCACAATATTCACCAATTACCTGTTAATTTGAAGTGGAATCAATACCATATTTACCAAATCTTATTTAAATTGTAATCACGTGGTCACTTCCCTCCCTCTGATATAATTTTTGTTAACAACTTTTTTCAGTAAAACAATTATATGTCTGATCTGTATTGTATATGATATAAATATATACTAGATGGGTAAGCAGTTCTCTAGGTATTGAACTTGTCTCACATTTTCAGTGAATGTCAATATGATTGAAAACCAATTTAAAACATTTAGGTTCCAGTGTGATGCTGGTAATTTGCCATCTTGATATTAAAATACCAGAAAGATAAAAGTTCAATAGGTAGATTTTAACTACAACATCCCCATACCAAATCATTGAAATTAAAGCATACCCACACCATGGGACTGAAGCTGCAGCACCACTTAATGCAAGTTTGAACCGTTATATAGAAACTACTCCATTACTCTAGCTCCCTCGAATGAAAAGTTCTAGTTTATTCAACTGCAGACCCAAAATGTTAGATTACGAAAATCTTGGTGTCCAAAACTAAGATTTAATCTCTTGGAGCCAGGGCCCCATTTGTAAGAGTCAAAACTACTGCAGCAGTAACTGTAAGATTCAAACTACTGCAATTAAAAAAGAAAAGATTTACACTGTTTGAAAACTGCAGTGCTTATCATACTTTTTTTAATTTCCATGGGAAAGATTACACATGCTCAGAATTAAAAGTGTTAATAAAATGTGTGTATGCACACTCTAGGGGAAAAACAACACTTTTCAATGGCATCTTTTGAGCTGTTCTTTCAGATGAAATCATTAGATGTTAAAATATAGGAATAGTTTAGCAAATTCACTGGTTGAAAATGCTCAATTTTAGGGTCCAAAATTGGGAGTTTCCCTCCGAAATCGGGAGAGTTGCCAAGTATATACTACTTCCCTTTCCAACCATAGCAACATCAGGTTACTGCAGCTTCTAACCATATCATTTAAACTTCCAAAGCCTCCAACCAAAAGATTCAAACTACAGAAGCTATAACTGAAAGACTCAGATTACCAAGTTATGTTCTACACACATTGGCCATTTTACTTAAACCAAGGGAAGCTGAAAATGGTAGAAAGGTGTTGTAGACCAGTGATGATGGAGCCAACAAAAAGGTGAGGCTGGGTTTCACATCTATACCAACCCTGTAACGACACACTAGCTCTGTAATGTAAATAGCTTCAGTTTCCAAAAAAGCACAACCTGACTAATTGTAACACCATCAAACAACACATTTGTTCATCCACAGAGTGTTTCGGCTCGTTTCGAGGCCTGCATATCTCCCACTGAATCCATCAGCCTCACACTTCTAATAGTTGTTATGGGACAACAGTGAAACATTGAAATCTTAACGTGCAACACAAATTAAGCCAACAAGAGCAATACAAATTGGTTAAGATCTATATTTATAACATTTACACGCCAAACGGCAAAATCACAAGGAACCTATATATCTCGATGAAAAAAAAATGTTAATGAAGTTCTGGAGTCTAGGAGCATAGGCTTGCTATATAGTAAACAAGAAAGATTAGAGGTATGTACCAGTAATCTTATTTCCAATAAATAAATAAATAAATAATACTTAATGGTAATGTATTGTCAAATAAGCCCGATATCACAAAGCTAATTTCCTTATCTTTCATAATAAAAATCTCCGTTATCTTCAATGAGAGCAAATCTCTGTTATTTGTTTTATATTTCAATTTCTATCGAAGTCTGATTCAATGAAACTTAAACCAAGTGTTGGCTGTTCTATTTGCCCATGTAATTGACCAGACTAATATTGCCTGTGCCTATGGACTTTGAGAGTAATTTTTACACATCAGTACTACACTGCCATAACGCAGAATATTTTGGTGTATTTATCAAAATATTCAGGTATGACAAATTAAAAAGTGATAGGACTCTAGCTTTACTGATTTTTGTATAGTAAAATTATTGAATGAAGAAAGTTTTTATTTCTAACTTGTAAACACAGGCTCTGGGTATGTACTAATGGGTTGGGAACATTACTTTGGTTGATCTTAAAGGGGTATTGAACAGAGTTGGTCTTGAGACAAATTCAGCATGAACTGCTTTGCAGTTTTTTGAATTTGTATTGAAGACCAACTCAATCACCTTATGAAATCAACATGGCCTGCATAGATTGCTTGGTTTTTTTTTGCTGATCTCATTTATTTTAAATGTCAAAAAAACTAAAATACCGACAGGTCAGCAAGGGCCTCACTGAATACCTGATTATATATATATATATCTAAAATCCACACCTTAATCCGCAAACACACACAAAATCTGAAGGCAGAATTAAGTCACAGTGACCGTTTTAAAATATGGGTAATAAAAGGCATCAGACATGTATGTATCTGACAAGCACCATTCCTCACCAAGTATGAACTTAATCAGACTACCAGAACAGAAGTGATCTCAAGACAGTCTGAAGCAATAGGGCACCATGAATAATGGGATTCAGATGTTCTTTTTGCCATGTAGACTAACAACGAAGCACCATTACCAACAAATATGAACAAAACTCTACCAACAGAAGTAACAGCATTTAAATCTCAGCCAACCAGAAGTGACAGACAGTGCATGGCTATCTTGGGATTTGGATAATATGACATTATATAATATTGTATGTTTTAATACAAGATATCAATCAAGCACCATTTAATGTTAAAACAAACATTAAGAAGTCAGGAATGGGTATATAATGTAGTTTCAGCAGTGTTGGTCTCACATTTTGGTGTTTCTTGACTTAACTGGGGTATCCATGTGATCTGATGTGATGTGAAATATGCTGCATATATACAAAGGGTTTATACAGCCCTGTGTACTCATGTGAAGTACCTGTACAAACATGGAAAAGTTCTTCTGACAATTAACTAAGGTCATCATACTTACATGAATACACATCACAGGTAGGTCTATATAGTTGAGAAGTTCGTGATGAAATTTGACGGACATACAGGAGCTAAAAAACACCATGATTTTCTTCTTTCGGTTTTTTTTCAGAAAGGTAAACAGCAGTAAAAACCTTTTGTCTGATGGGCACACTACATATCCCTGAAAAAGAAGGAGGTGAAAATATATTCAGTCAGCAATTTTCGTATCCAAATTATTACATTCTTATCAGTTTTCGTTATTTTCTATATTCTCAAAGTGATTGCTAATGCCAGTTAAGCCATTTAAATGGAGCATGAGACAGCATTGTTTATAGTTAGTTTGGTGTACAAATATGTTTATTTTTCTTCTTTTATTAATTAATTAATTTTTGTTTTGTTTTTGTTAGTTTTAATGTAGGCTGTTTCTCACTGACCATAAAATATACACAATCAAATTCTGTTGGCCAGAAATATTTCATACATAGGTGTCAACCTCTGAAACCTCCAATGAGGGAGATCTCCCTCATTCCACATTTCCAATGAGGGAGAAAGTGTGTGAAGCGTGACTTAAACTGCTTTGCTCAATTTATCTTTCCCATTGTATGTATCAAAATAACTCCAAAAAGCATTCATTTGATTCAGACACACCTGTTATGATCATTACACACACCCTGCAGTAACTAAGAGAACATTTGACCACAGAAATTAGTTTGAGTTTGTGTGAGTTAGGACTTGAATGAGGGAGTTTCGGGGGATATTGGTAAATATTTGGTCAAAATGAGAGAGTCTCCCTCCTAATGAGGGAGGGTTTACAGCTATGTTCATACCACATTTAAAATCCCTTCAGCTGTTCTGATCTACTAAAGTTAAATGGAAACATGAAATACCCTGTCCCATGTCACATGCTCACGAAGCACTTCTTATGCAGAAAAAATATTATGACATTGTGTGTTTAATGTTACAAGTTGAAAATTGAGTACAGTCAATAGGTACAATGTAGGACAGTTGTTATTCTTTTTAAACAAATAACTTTCTTTCTTTTAACCATATTCTGGCACTGATGTGTTAGCTATATTGATCAGAGTTGACCTAAACCACTACAGGAGTAGAGAAGCTAACAGGGTTGAAATTACTGTGTACCTGGTACATCAATTTTATCATAAATCAGAAAATATATTTTCTGGAATATTTTTCAACTTTCAGAACCTCAATAAAAACTTGAATAGATGGCATTAAGGCCAAAAAAATCTTGGGTAGGTAAGGAACCATATACACTCGTCATATTGTCCTAAAGAAAAGAACCCGATATCCTCCTATGTGTGGAAAAAAGCATGTTGGCTACACCAACATAATTGTACAAAGAGAGGTAACTCTACTTAAACCTAAATATAAAATACCTAAATACCTGTGGTTTAACATTTAGGCATGCTACCTGTATGTATGTATTTAGTGTATCTAAAATTAAAAAAATAAACTGTTCTTTGTGTCCAGATGGTCTCTGTTAATAGTATACTTGTAAATGTAACTTGAAGCTTTTAATAGTATACCTGTAAATGTAACTTAAAGCTTTTAATAGTATACTTGTAAATGTAACTTAAAGCTTTTAATAGTATACTTGTAAATGTATCTTAAATATTTTAATAGTATACTTGTAAATGTATCTTAAAGCTTTTAATAGTATACTTATAAATGTAACTTAAAGCTTTTAATAGAATACTTATAAATGTAACTTAAAGCATAAATAGTAGTCTTGTAAATGTAACTTAAAGCTTTTAATAGTATACCTGTAAATGTAACTTAAAGCTTTTAATAGTATACTTGTAAATTAAAGCTTTTAATAGTATACTTGTAAATGTAACTTAAGTACCTTAAAGCTTTTAATTGTTTACTTGTAAAAGTATCTTAAAGCTTTTAATAGTTTACTGTAAAAGTATCTTAAAGCTTTTAATAGTATACTTGTAAATGTATCTTAAATATTTTAATACTATACTTGTAAATGTAACTTGAAGCTTTTAATAGTATACTTGTAAATGTAACTTAAAGCTTTTAATAGTATACTTATAAATGTAACTTAAAGCATAAATAGTAGTCTTGTAAAAGTATCTTAAAGCTTTTAATAGTATACTTGTAAATGTATCTTAAATATTCTAATAGTATACTTGTAAATGTAACTTAAAGCTTTTAATAGTATACTTGTAAATGTAATTTAAAGCTTTTAATAGTATACTTATAAATGTAACTTAAAGCATAAATAGTAGTCTTGTAAATGTAACTTAAAGCTTTTAATAGTATACTTGTAAATTAAAGCTTTTAATAGTATACTTGTAAATGTAACTTAAGTACCTTAAAGCTTTTAATAGTTTACTTGTAAAAGTATCTTAAAGCTTTTAATAGTTTACTGTAAAAGTATCTTAAAGCTTTTAATAGTATACTTGTAAATGTAACTTAAAGCTTTATGTCTAGCAGTGGGTACTCAACCATAGACATTCAACACTGAGGCTAAAAGTGAGGTAAAGTCAAGTAAGGTGTAAGGAAACAAAGGCAGTTGACAGACAGGTCTGGGATATTGTAGTGGATGTCATGACAAGGACTATTATATTACTTGTACTGAACTGCAGTGGTTCTTAACTTCAAATCTAGTTTTAGTTAAAAAGTATCAAACTATTTGTCTACCCTATCTTGTCCTGTTCCTTTGTCCAAAAGGGACACAATCTCGATTTATTCAACATAGAATTATTTCATTTAATAACTGTTAAAGTTTTTAAAATTCAGGAGGGTTTTAATATTGCTTATTTCGCAAATGCATCATTTTTTTTAGATTGTGGCCAGAACATCAAAGTTTCACATGTCTGTGATGCCAGTTGTTTTGAGGCTACTAGGTATAAACATACATGTAGTGTTGAAAAAAATCCATAGATAAAATTAACTACCGTTGGTATTAAAATTTGAAAAAAAACACCATAAATCCACAAAACAATTTGATCTGGTTTGAACAAAAGATCAAAACCCAGGTAAATACACCCTGTAAGGAATCTAGACAATAGCTTCAACTAATAACACCACCCACGGTCATCATTGCACAGCACGTCTATCCAGGTAAGATTTTTCACATCCAGCACAACAACTCAGATTATAGTTGCAAACAATAGATTGGTCTTTAATTTCTTTGTGCAGTCTAATAAAACATGTGCAGTAGGTGCTAGCTAATGGCTATTTAAATTTGACTCAAGTCTACAATGGTCCCCACTCACCTTTTCTTTTTGGCATAGAGCTCTATTATGTCTTCAATCATGCATTTCATTAATATTTACGGTCACCTTGACACATTATTTGAGAAATCCTTGCCGATTTTAACAACAGAATGTCATCGTGTGTCAGTGAATATCAAGACCATGGCCTACTTTCCCAACAGCATGGTGCCGGATATAGGTTTAATGTAAATTGTAATAGGTTCTCAATCACCAACTCTACCTCAGATTGTAACAAACTAAGTTCACAAGGCTTATATATATAGATGACGACAACAATCCACCAGACATAATGCTATTTACAGTGAAACCTCACCTACTCTTAACTTGTAGTTAGGTACCTGTACCGTTACCCTGTGGCTGAAATGGCATTTATGCGCATATTTAATATTTCCCCGACGATGTTTGGCATCCATGTTTTAGCGGAAGTTTTGTTTCAGTGGGTGTGTAAAACCAGATTTCGGCATGGCAATATTAAGCGAAACTCATTTAGCAGATTCCTGAATCCTGACCATCTTACAAGATATTCAAACTTGAATATGTTGTGATTTTTAATTTCATTATCAATTAACATTATATTATGATATTTGTAAAATTAATGTAGCCTAACACAGTATGACAGACTATGTCTAAACGACAAGTGAGTGACATATACAGCCTCTTTATTTGTCTTTCTTTCTTTACACGGATGGCTATATATTTTCGTTATTGAGCAATTCATATCTTATTAAATGTTATAATCTTTATTAAACTTACTGTAACCTAATGAGTACTTGGAACTACTTGTGAGGTGTTCCAAAATCGACTTACAGAAATTGTGATTCGTGAAAATAAACCCCCACAAATAAGTTCTGGAAACTGAAATTTTACAACTGTGAAATTCAAAAACTATACTGCAGCAAAGGAATTCTCCATCAAAATTTAGTCATGGAGATGTTCTGGGAGAGAAGTATTATAAATGGATAAAATGCTGATGGATAAACATTATTTCATCATATACTTGGCTCTTCACACTAGGAGAGGTAAAATCCTTATAGTTCTAAATTCTGATCATCAATTCTCTCTGAAATGAGCGAAATGAAATCGACAACAAGCATCAACATGCGAAGGGAGACAACTTTTATATGACCCACCTGCTCCAGCCCTTCCACTGTAGCCTTCTCTTTACTATCATCTACACCCACATACAATGGTTCCTTCTTCAGGGAGACTTTTGCCAGGTCTTCAATCTTCCGTGTTTGAGTCGCTGAGAACAGCATGGTCTGTCTTTTCTCTGCAAAATTAATTTGAAAATAAATGAGGCTCAATATCCACTATCTATATAAATATTTCTTTAGGGTAGAGAGTCGTAGAGTTCTATCTCCAACAAACAAGAACATGCTCCAATTTTTTAAACATGTTTCAGACTTGTAGCAAATAGTTACATATGTTAGAATAATATCTTTAATCTTTTTACACAAAAACAAATTCCACCACAGGAATTTGATCTGACACAGATCTCATGATAAAGCAAAGTGCTTATATCTTCCCACACAAAGGTTCATGATAAATAAGTTCATTAATTCCTTTCTGTAACATTATTGGAAAAGAATATTAAAACATTTGAACCCCACAAGTATTATGTTTTGTCAATATGTCCAATATTTTATTATCAATGGTTAAGCTAGAGATGTCAAGTTAAAATTGTTGAGACAGCTAGTTATACAGGATTGCATTGATCTGATTGAGTCACTAGGTTATTACAACTTCCAGTAAAACTGTTGAATGTTGTTCTTACTTGGTAAAAGTTTGATGATCTGTTTCATTTCTTCTTCAAAACCAATATCTAAAATTCTGTCCGCTTCATCAATTATGAGACACTGTAGGTTCTTGTACATGAAGTTTGGTGTGTTCTGTAAATAACAAACGGCAAACAGAATAAGAAATTCATCCTTTTCATAATAATTTTTGGACTTTCAAAAGAATGTTTAGAAAATAAAAATACTCGCGACATTAAATAATAAATTATATTTACAGAAATATATAAGGTACTGTCACAAAACGATGTTGCAAGTCAACCATGCATTATATAATGACAAATATATATGACTTCAGATCGGACAGTATAAATAATTGATACATTTGTCAGTTTGACAGAGTAGTATAATACTTAGGAGTGAGTAAAGTATGAGTCAGAGGTTTACAAAATGTGACTCAGGAGTGAGTAAAGTATGAGTCAGAGGTTTACAAAATGTGACTCAGGAGGGGGTAAAGTATGAGTCAGAGGTTTACAAAATGTGACTCAAAAATGAGTAAAGTATGAGTCAGAGGTTTATAAAATGTGACTCAGGAGTGAGTAAAGTATGAGTCAGGGTCAGTAAAATATTTGTCAAGAGTTAAAGCATTGGCTGTCAAGCGGTCATTCTGAGATAAAAGTAGCTCAGTAAGAGTAAAATCAGAGCTGAGAGCTGTCAGGCAGATGACAGAAAAAGGTAAGACATCTGAGGTCAGTTAAGGTACTGTAAGTCAGAGGTTCTTGTAATTTGTTTATCAGATGGAGTTCGGAGGTCAGTCACGAAATCTACCCTGGGTTCACTCTCACCTGTAAGTGATCAAGGAGTCGTCCAGGTGTGGCTACAACCATGTTCACACCCCGTGACAGCTTCTTAGCTTCCTCTGCCCTATTGGTCCCTCCCATGATGAGGCCATATGTATGGAAGTGGTGCTTCAGCAGTTCTTTCACCACACCAAAGCTCTGCATACACAGCTCACGTGTAGGGGAGATAATTATACACCCTGTACCTGTAGCACAGAGTGAGTTTTGATCATCAAAGAGGGTTTCACACAGTGGTTAGAATATGCAGTGAGGAGAGTTGAAATAAAATCTGGGTGGTAAGGTTCACATATTTATATCAGGAGAAACTTTAAGCTGACCTATTCCCTGGCATTTTGTGAACACAAATCCATGTCCATTTTCCTAAATCATATCTAATGTAATATAGCATAGTATGGCTTAACTTCAAATACCAAAGTTAGGTGTATCATCAGAGAATAACTTGAAAATTGATTCTATTGGAATCATCTCTGCTCAATTTAATCATACTTATACAAAGAATTTGAACTTTATAAAACAGTTGAAAGTCTATGAGAAATAATCCCCAATAAAATATAGTAATATCCCACTATTAATACATAAACAATTGCAAGTTGTGTTGGACTTGTATTAAAGAAGCAGGAATATACATACCATTTCTGGGTTGGAAGCGAAGCTTGTTGAGAAGTTCCACGGCTGGGATAAGAAATGCTAACGTTTTGCCACTGCCAGTCTTTGCTGCTCCCATCAGATCTCTGAAACATGTCAAGTACTCTAGCTAACTTACATATTATATCCAAGGTTATAGTGATAGGTTTGAAAGCACACTGTTTATGTGTACAACTTTCTCCAAACATAATACAGCAGATTAAAATTGATAAACATAATGTTGTATAGCCATAGTAGGAAGCAAATGCATCTCATGGAAAATCACCTTTGCAAATAATTGACTCAAAAAGTCATATCCATTTTTGGCCATTGTTTCAAATCCATTTTATATTGGGAATGGGGTCGCTATTGACCCCATTTACCTGGGCACAGAAAACACTGATTTCTGTCATAAAGCTTTACCAGGAGGTGAGATATGGACCATGTATGCATTTCTGTAATTTATTTTTTAACCTTTTCCTGCCCTGAAGCATGAGAAGATTTTTGAACTGGATTTGTATTTTCTGTCATAGGTAAAGTTTGAACTTATCCCCAGGATGTGAACTACGAAATGAGTCTGTATTTCTGTCATGTGTAAAGCTTTTCTTGCCCTACAGGATGCCCTACAGGAGGTAGGGTATGGACTGAGTATGTATTTCTGTCTTGTGTAAAGCTCGTCTTGCCCTACAGGATGTAGGGTATGAACTGAGTATGTATTTCTGTCATGTGTAAAGCTTGTCTTGCCCTACAGGAGGTAGGGGATGGACTGAGTATGTATTTCTGTCATGTGTAAAGCTTGTCTTGCCTTACAGGAGGTAGGTTATGGACTTAGTATGTATTTCTGGAATGTGTAAAGCTTGTCTTGCCCTACAGGAGGGAGGGTATGGACTGAGTCTGTATTTCTGTCATGTGTAAAGCTGGTCTTGCCCTACAGGAGGTAGGGTATGGCCCGAGTATGTATTTCTGTCATGTGTTAAGCTTGTCTTGCCCTACAGGAGGTAGGGTATGGACCGAGTATGTATTTCTGTCATGTGTTAAGCTTGTCTTGCCCTACAGGAGGTAGGGTATGGACCGAGTATATATTTCTGTCATGTGTAAAGCTTGTCTTGTCCTACAGGAGGGAGGGTATGGACTGAGTATGTATTTCTGTCATGTGTTAAGCTTGTCTTGCCCTACAGGAGGGAGGGTATGGACCGAGTATGTATTTCTGTCATGTGTTAAGCTTGTCTTGCCCTACAGGAGGTAGGGTATGGACTGAGACTGTATTTCTGTCATGTGTAAAGCTTGTCTTGTCCTACAGGAGGTAGGGTATGGACTGAGTATGTATTTCTGTCAAGTGTAAAACTTTACCTGCCCTCCAGGAGGTGGGGTATGGACTGAGCCTGTATTTCTGTCATATGAGTAAAACCCATATCTTCTATTCCTTTCATGGTCTGCTCAGACACTTTGCCCTCGAGAGATTTGAATGATGAATCTGACAGGATACCAGCTCCTAAACCTGATCCAGGCACTGAAACACAGCAAGCAGAACATTCACATCACTTATAAGATACCTCTGGTAACATGTTCATTTCCTGTTCTGACCATTGTATGAATACAACAAGTTTTTTTATTATCAAAATAATATACAATTTGGCCTTCTCAAGGCTATATGTTACCTTAAGCGTGCATTGCCCTTGCGAATATACTTAGCATTATTCTATATCTCCCTTATCTTTTTATCTACCGGTAAATATTACCAATGCATATATTCTTTTAATTGAACCCATCAACTTAGCAAAACATAGTGATCATTTTTGGATGTGCACTTGCGGTATTCCAAAGAAAATATGTATATTTGGCCCTTATTTCCAGCTTCTATGTGGCAGAAATGCATTGCATATGAATGGCCCTTAATCACTGAATTTCAATACACTGTGCGACACAAGTGGAAAGAGGCAAGTCTAATCGAAAGCGCCCAAATATTTCATCACGTAACATGGAAAGCTTCTTAATATAGATGTATTTGACAGTCCAATTTCCAAGAACAGAGCAACAAGGAGAGCCCCATCAGGCCATAATGACAGTTTGTAAAACACAACTATTTAATGACCCACAATATTTCAATACACATGTTGCTTTTACGATTCTAAGAAAATTAAAAGCGAAACTGAATGCGATGTGGTTGTTTGTCACTCGATCCAGCCAAATCAGTTAAATAGACTGGATAAATCTGATTAATTTAGAAAAGAATTCAATAAACAGAAGATGAATAAACAATTATGTCTTTATGGATTTTCTTCACAAACAACTATGGAGTGATTCACATTAATGGGGTGATTCACATTAATGGATAGATTCTCATTAATTGGACACAGGTTGTAAATATATAGTTTCAAACACAAATGCAAACCTAATAGCCTAATAATGGAGAAGTCGGAACTCGGACTACGGACTAATAGAATCTTCCCCTACCTTGAGGGTGTGACAGAGAAATCTCTAACCCTCGGGATGATGTTTTTTGGTTGTCTAACCCTCGGCTCCTCCGAGAGTTAGACAACCAAAATAATCAACCCCAGGGTTGGAGATTTCTCTGTTTCACCAGGGGGTGATTATTTTTCTCCGATCTTATTATTTCAGTCACAACTCCACCGACAGTACTCTGCCATGATTATAAACGAAAACACATATGGGGTATGAATATCGCCATTCACTTTTGATGACGTCACAATTACTGGCGACACATTTTAATGATGTCACAATTGAACATGTGCTAAACGGCACAAAATTATCACCCCCTAAGGAGTGACAAGCTGATCTTTTACGGCTAAAACAGGAAACACACCTGTGAAGGGTGGGAGAAATGGTGGTCATTTGATTTTGGTATGGTAAATGTATCAGAATTATCACAGAGTTATATTATTGTAAGTCTGTAGTGTCATAACTTAAATTGAAGCTTAATTAAATGTTACCTTTAAATTAAAACATAACTTTTTTTTCTCACACCTCAGGACATAAATACCTGCACCATGCCCCATGCTAGATTTGTATTCCCTCCCAATCTGTCTGGTACCTTTATGTGACATTTCAAGGAATTTCTACACTGCGGTGTATTCATCGACATTTAATGGCTTGAAATTGACAATATGCTTTATAAATATTCTTATTCTCATGTTGTAGCATTATTGCTGCTGTGTGAACTGACAAAACAAGTTATTTATATAAATGTTTTGTTGTTATATGTGTTGTTTTGATGTTGTTAGATATCTGTTGTTGTAGATGAAATATAATCTACACTGTGAAATACATTGTTTTCTTTGTAAGGATGGACTACATTTTTATGCAGAAGCTTTCAAATGCAGCTTTAGTAGTGTAGGGGCCATTTTTATTTGAGGCCAGAATCTTAGCCCTCAACTGAGATAACCCGGATCTTGCTCAGTTACAGGTAATTAATTGTATTAGCCTTGTAAATTGTCCCACTTTTACACACAAAATGCCCCATATTGTTTTGGTATAGAGCCAAAATGCCTCCATAATCAGAAAGGCAAGCCTAATCACTGAATATTCGGTATTACCATTCTTGTATACATGCACATATAGAACACCAAACTTTTCAAAACATTCATGGTTAGGCACCAATGAGCCAAAATTTTGAAAAGATCGAGTCCCAGGTTATATTACAACTTTTGGGAGCTTTTATTGACATCTAGTAACATATCAGTGTTGATCTTACATTTGGATTCAATATCATTGCTGACTTCTTCAGGTTCCTCATCACCATCATTCTCATCTGAATCATCTACAATATCCTCACAATCGTCTTCTATATTTTCAGCATCATCGTCATCACTTGAAGCGTCTTTATTTTCTTCACTTTCATGTTCTTTCAAATCCTGTTTACTTTTCTTAGCAGGAATTTCGCCTGTTTCTTCTAATTTCCGTTTCTTTTTCTTCTTTGTCTTTGTTGTTTCATCTGTCATTGCTGTGGATGTTGTTCTGCTGTCTGCTGATGATACAGCTTTTGAGTGGTCCACTGTAACAGAAGAAATGTAAAAACTGATATATACACAACATTCCTAATGATTGATGACTGATGATTTATATACAAGCTAGGGAATTTGTTATCAGTATAATCTATGCTGTTCAGGAGGTAGATTATATCCAAGAGCAAATTCAAGGGACTGGATAGAAATCATAATAAACTCTCACAATTTGGAAACATGTATCTGGTTTTTTTAATGACTCAAGTATTAAGAAAATATAGCCATCTCAGTACCAAATGTCTGATTCCACTTTTCTGTTCCGGGAGAATATATCACTTCATGGATAACAGCTAATGTTACCCATTTTACCCCACCTTTCCGCCAGTGTTCTCCCCAGAGTTTTTGTATGCACTTTGGCATCTTTGTTTTAACCCTTCCATCACAGCACGGCGCTGGGAACCATTTCCGCGTCGCAACCTATCAATCGAGCGCAAAGCCACTTTGAGAAAGAAAACTTAACAGGAGTAAAAAGAAATAATAATTTATATACATGTAGTTAGTTCTAAATAAATAGCATTACTTTAATCATGACATTACATTATTATTGCTCAATTTCTTGCCCTTTTCTTTTTCTTTATCATTAATTTTTTTAATACCTACTATCATGATTTGTAAGAACTTGTCAGTTGATGTGTTACGGTCAAATGCATGCGTAACGGTAAAATGGTGATGCGTAGCGGCTCAAAATTCATGCGTAACGTACCCCACCTTTCAGCCCAACAGAAAGTCAGCTTCTCTATTGGTATCCCTTTTGATCCCATGAGCTAAGGATGCAATTTGGTTGCAACATGTCAACTAATTTGAGAGGAAATGTCATGGTTTTAAGTTCTAAGTGCCTGGGGCTGATATTTTGTACCTAAAACAGCTATAGCCCCAGATCTAATGTCTAGCGATGCTTCGTGTACTTAGGAATCACTCACTTCCATTTATAACTTTCATTTTCTTCTTTTTCTTTTGCAGTTTTTGCTGAACCTGAGGGATGTCCTCTGCAGATTCTATGTCTTCCATGTCGCTATCAACTGGATCTTCCTCCTCGACAGCAGCTGTCAACACTAAATCAGGAAATAAGAATCATTAATCAATAGTGTGTAGTGGCAAAATAATCAAGGTTTCCTTAAGGTATTTGCAATTGGGGTAAGTACATACAGTCTAAGCCTAGGAAATGTTTCAAATCAAAGGATTTTCTTTGTCATATAACACTTTTAAGGCCAGAACCATAGTACATGTTTGGAATTAGTATTTAACAGTCCTATACCATTTACTGGTCTGTATTGATCAGGACTTTTCAAGGTAATACAACACTGAAATCCCATATTGATATCCTTGGCTGACACTGTGCATGTATTTGACACCAAATGTTATTGAGGTCTAAAACAGTTTCATTTACTGGTGTTGGATATTGAAGAATATGTGTATATAGTTTTTAAATCTCTTGTCTGCTAGTTGTTAGAGCAAGGATGAATTCTTTCAAATCACAACACCAAAAAGACGAATTTTTCAAAAAAATAAATAAAACCTCATATCACTTATCCTCTGATGTAGTGACTTAAGATGGAAGTGCGATAAAGAAATACTGATTGCCTTTAATTCACAGAAATATTTAAATATCAAGGGCACATATTTAAATCCCTGTAAATAAACTGAACAATGAATTGGCATGATCAATAAGCACAAGGCATTTCTGACTGGTTATGAATCCTATTTAAAATTGGAAAATGAAGAAAATAATACATTATATCTAGGGATGGTATCTAAAGCTTCAAATTAAACTAAATTAATCCCTGAATAGTCCAACACAAATAGAATGATCACATGTTGAAACTTGCAAGTCACCTCCCTTTGATCAAGCTGACATTTTCCTAGAAGAGCTAGACATGCAGGTTTTATTTTTAACTGCATTGATTTCTGTAATGCTCCTTAATGGGTATGTTCCAAGCAATGTCTTAGAAACACTGCTTTTTGAGACCCATAGCCACATTATGACATTCTATTTCTGTATGTGTTTTTGCTTGTCGTTCCAAATTTTGGGGAGCAAGGCGAGAAAAAATTGCACAATACAGAGTTACAAATGTAGTGATTGTGGCAGGTTAGTATATAGGAGCATAAAATATATATGGAAGTGGTTTAAATATATACATCACTAGCCTTTAGGAGGATAAAAACCAATCAATTAACAAAATGCAGATAAATAACATCATTACAAGCCACAGGCTTTCCATTGATGTCTTACACCTATGAGAGATAATAGCAAAGTAACTAACAGATCAATAAATCCCAATACGTTTACCTTGTGGTGTTTTTAACTTTTTAGTTTTCATTTTCTGTTTCTTTTTCAGCATATTCAACTTCTTCACTTCTGCAAAATAACAAGGAAACAATTGCAATTCTATAATACTTAATGATCCTGATTTAAAACATCAAACACTTAACACACTTAACACAACTGTGTTAATCTTAGAACATTTAAGCTTTTAAACAAATAGTAGAATAAACCATGAACTAAACAATTAAAAATTCATCATCGAAATAGAAGTCACTTTATATATATATATATATATCCTACCTCTAATCTTACACATGTCCCATAGAGAACACTTATGTATCACACATTTTGATGTTCCTATCATGGGGCGCTACAATATGATACGTGTTTGGTACTACAAACCACAGCCAATCAATTTGTTTTGTTTCTTTGGCGGACTTACGTTATCTTGACACCTCATGAACATAAAATTTACAGAAAAAACTTATCATGAAGGTGTCACCTATGTAAAATTTGGGATTAGAACCTTAATTTATCTAGCTTCAGTTCTAGATTCAGAAAATGTTGTGCTTTGTATGATAGTTTTGGCAAGTAGATTCATTGTGATATGGTGTGAAAAGAATTAAATCTATTTAAGTGTTTGTATTTGTCTTTGGATTCTGAATGGTGTTTGGTGTAACTGTTTAAGTGTCTCTGGCTGTCAAACTGCAGAGATAAGGATGTTTGTGTACTAGCTAGCTTTCTTACTTGCATGTTCAAAAGTTGTTGTCGTATTATTCAGTAAAATAGCATGATGCAAATTTATAAATATTTATCGCGCTTAGAATAATGTCTCAACCTCACACTTTTTGTGTGTTGCTGATTTATATAAATTCTTATATTTTTTAAAAAGATTTCCCAGCAATTTTCAGCTTACCAACAAAATAGTACCAGGTTACGAAATGTCTTAAATTTGAATACAGTACTTGAAACGATTTACATGACACCATTTGACCAACAAAATCATTATTCTAAAACAACTGTTAGCACATGGTTTCATTTCTAACTTTACCTCAGATTGATATAGCATCGCCATGCATCAAAAATGCAGTGTCACAATTTATCTAGTCCAGCTATGGACAACTGACATTCTTGAAGTGTGAAATAACTACAAAGTGTAGCTCATGATCATCTTCAATTATTAAATAACATAAATAGTTCATTCATTATTGAAGAAGTCATTGTAAAAACAGAAATGTAGTTGTTTTCCGATTATAAATATGCTTGTTGATTATTGCAATATCGTTCCTTACTGTCGTGTTTAAGGTGCTTTATCTTCTATAAATATGTTCTAAATTGGACTCGTGTCTCTAATTAGACTGTTAGAAACGCACCCTTGTAATCCATGCAAGCGTATGCGAGTGTGGCCAGAACGAGGAACAAGAGTATATAGTATGATATATAAAATTTACATCAGATAATTTTGATCAATACCCTGAAATATGCTTGCTACCTAGCACATCGTGTCAACTGATCAGGACACAATACACAATATATACAGCAATCAGCTGTAGATCGTCTTGCATTTTCAGCTAATTTTGGACAGTATAACAATGATATTGTATGAAAACTCTCTGGATTCAGACTTTGTTGTTTCTTCAATCATTGTTAAATATCATTGTTCTAATCTCTAATCTAGAACAAATGTAAATAAAACAGCATGCTACACCACGTGCAAGATTTTTAACTCACCGGAAGCCATGTTGGATTTTGAATACCAAAAAGCAAACTACTGTCGTTACACGTTTGCACCGAGTTAGTATTTAATCAGTTGTTATTTGCATACATTTCATTTTGATTGATTTTACTTAGGTTATTGTATAAAATCAATATACTATGTAAACGAAACTTATATAAAAGAGTCCGAAATAACGACATTATACACAGTTCTGGTGACGCTTGAATATTGATTTCATTGTGAGTGAATCTCTACTCGTGCGATACAAACATTTTAAAGATCATTTACATTCCACTAAAAACATGGCCGAAGCAGGTGTGTTTCTAATGACGCTATTGTATATATTTGTTTTCTAAACCACTCTTAGTTTCACGATAAATGCTAGTTGATGTTTTGTATCGATAACTTATCGAACATTACACGTTTACACTATCATTACAAATAAGAAAACACTAATGCGATCGTTGCACGACTCATCAGCTCTAGTGACGTAGTAATGTGTAGACAGTCAACAGGTTAAAATTGATCATCTGCACTCTTTGTCTAAGGGTTTGAAAGAACGTGCACTGTTTGGGAGCAATTGCATTAAAAATACGGAATGTCTTTCATTGAAACATATTTCATATTCACATCCTTATTTCAGTAGACAATAAACAAATATTGTGCACAAAATATTTGAAGACGTTAGTGCAGTATGGGCAGTGCATGTTAATTTTTTTAGGGGGGGGGGGCATATTATACATGTATATACTCCCCATATATCTTCTGTGTTCCTAAAATCTGCACAACCTTCATTTCGCTTAAGATGGCAGATGGTAAAATTTACTGGATTGTAGAATTAAGTTTGAAAATTATATTAAAGTATTATGAATTTTGATGAAAATGATTGTATTTTAGACGATGTCCCTCCATTGGAGGATATGTCAGAAATGTTGCAACAGGTTGAGCAACTGAGAGAACATAAAAAGAAAGGCATGCCAACAAACGGGACATCACATCATCACATAGAGCAGGTATGTCTTACCAACTCTTTTCCTAGTGCCGTAGCATCACTTCAATGTAGACATGTTCAACAGAATGGGTTGTGAATATATTGCTGCCAGTACTTGAATATGTTTTACTTATTATTGGTGAGAACACTATTGTCAGTGTTTTGATTGTTTTATGGTTGTGGTGTTGACAGATTGAACCCATGATTGTCAAACAATTGTCTGCATGTACAAATTTGATGTGATGTATTTCACTTAAATGACAGTACATTGTAGATTTATGAAATAGTCAAAAACATGCAACATAACAGTGATTTGTTTTTCGGCAAATATAGGGCCACATAAAAGCCTCTTCCATATACATTTTTCTTGTATTTTCCGATAATCATTGCAAAAAATATATAAATTTTCCAAAATCATCCTTTTTGTGCGATGCAAGATAGTTGTTAAACCATACAAAACAAATTATGTTATTTTGAAACTGCTCAAACCATCAGTAGTTTTTTTTACTGTACTTAAAATATATTTAGTTATCATAGAATTTATAAAATTGTCATCAATATGGACTGTGTTGTTAGGTAACAGGGCTGTCAACATCAATGTTTTCGTGTATTATTACAAAGATAAGTCAAAGTTAATCTGGAAATATTTGCTATTTCAATGTTGTTGGTTTTTTTGGGTTTTTTTACTGATCAAGATATAGATTTACCACTACATTTTTTTTAACAACTTTGAGAAATCAATGTCACTTATACTTACAAATTTTGGGTTTTTGAAGAAACAAAAATTAAAATAAGAAAGATCATCAAAGCTAATAGAGGATTAAAATAATGATGTTTTAAAGAGTTGTACAAATGTTAAAAAAAACTGAATGTACAAATGAAAAAGAACTGACATCCTTGTAAGACTAAATGGCTCTGTTTCTTTAGCTAGGCTGTAATTCAACATTATTTTTAAGACCTTAGACTTCTTAGCATATTATTGTAGTATTCATGCAATGATACCATTGATAATCACGTTATACGTAGTGAACATAGATTATGATTTTAATCAGGTTGTGATATAAGCTTATACACATATAAATTCAGATTGATTATCTAAACATTAATAAGCTTTTCATTGATATTAAATTTATAATGTTTAAAATAAAATTCAGAAATGATTTTTTAGTCAATATTGAGCAGGAAATTACTAAAAAGTCTGTTTTATTTTGTCAGAATGGAACAAAAGTGAATATAAAAGATGATCACACAAAAACACACAGTGACAAAACGACAACAAAAACAGTAAAGAAAGAAGAGACCATGCCTACAGCTAAATCAGGGGGAGACAATAACGGAGGATTTGGTGGAATGAAAAAAGGCTTTCTTTTCGGAGGAAATTCATCCAAGTCCAAACCTAAAAAAAGTGAAATTGTGAACAAGAAACAAACAAAAAAAGACTCAGATGATTTAACATTTATAAAAAAGGACGAACAGGAGACATCATCACAGTTCAAATTTCCAGAGGTAGAGCAGGCTATGAAACAGACCTCCAGTCTCCTGGACAACAAAGGTAACACAATGTTTACTGGTATAGTTTGTGAGTCAGACCTCTAGTCTTCTGGACAACAAAGGTAACACCATGTTTACTGGTATAGTCTGTGAGTCAGACCTCCAGTCTCCTGGACAACAAAGGTATCATCATGTTTACTGTTATAGTTTGTGACTCAAACTTCCAGTAACAAAGGTTGTATGCAATAGATTTGTCTTTGATGGTAATTACTGGTCATTTAAACAATATGTTTACTGTTTACTGGTACACAGGGAGGACCCATGGGAGTTGTATGCAATAGATTAGTCTTTGATGGTAATTACTGGTCATTTAAACAACATGTTTACTGTTTACTGGTACACAGGGAGGACCCATGGGTTTCGGTACGCCATGTCTTGGGACAAGACTTTTTGGAGGGGGGAATAGTTTAGGAGCCGAAGAATAAGAAGGGAAATACTGCTTTACTTGCAAGCTATGGTAATTTCATAGTGATTCAGTATAACACTGGGACTCACTTGACACTGAGGTTTGTCTAGTGGTGCAGTATAACACTGGGACTTACTTGACGCTGAGGTTTGTCTAGTGATGCAGTGTAACACTTGGACTCACTTAACACTGAGGTTTGTCTATTGATGCAGGATAATACTGGGACTCACTTGACACTGAGGTCTGTCTAGTGATGCAGTGTAACACTGGGACTCACTTAACACTGAGGTTTGTCTAGTGAGGCAGTATAACACTGGGACTCACTTGACCCTGAGGTTTGTCTAGTGATGCAGTATAACACTGAGACTCACTTGACACTGAGGTTGGTCTAGTGATGCAGTGTAACACTGGGACTCACTTGACTCTGAGGTTTGTCTAGTGATGCAGTATAATACTGGGACTCAGTTGACACTGAGGTTGGTCTAGTTATGCAGTGTAACACTTGGACTCACTTGACACTGAGGTTTGTCTAGTGATGCAGTATAACACTGGGACTCACTTAACACTGAGGTTGGGCAGTGGCTAGATATGGCTGACTGCTGGCACATTACAGTATCATCTTTACTTGTAATTATCTTTGATTTAAACATCCAGTCTTCTTGGAAACAAATTAAAGGTACCATAATGTTTACCGTAATAGGCTGTGAGTCAAATATCTAGTTATCTGCATAGCAGATGTAAAATAAAAAATGCTTAGAGTTAATGCTATATGTTCTGAGTGAAACCTAGTCTTACGGGTAGCAAAGGTAAGACCATATTTTGATTGTTATTTCCCTACCCGAACAAAATAACCAGTCTTCTGATTGGTAAAGACACTATGGATGAAACAGTTATTTCTCTGATGGTAATATCCGGTCATTTAATAGAGCTCTTTGAATCAAATCTGCAGTCTTCTGAATAAATATTTCTGCACCTTAAAGATGACTGTATGTTTACTTTTGCAATTTGTAACCACAATTCAAATATCTATCATGTTTAACCACGTTTGATAGCACAGCTTGTAAGAAAACATCTAGATGTTTTTTACAGAGAGACAGTTGTTTAACGCAAGTATTGTCCTTTACAGAGTGGGTGACAGATGAATTACTGGAGAATGTACAGAAAAATGAACGCCTTGCCCGCCGCCTTCAGGATCCAACCTTTGCCCGTGCCCTCACAGAGTTCCAGACCAACCCTCAAGCTGCGGCCCTCAAATACCAGAACAATCCGGAATTCCAGGAGACATTTCAAGACTTCTGTGGAATAATGGGTATGCATACCTTTGTATTCATTTCACTATATTTACATAGCATATAACTAGGTACAAATCATGTTAATGTGTTTGGTAAAACTATAAACTATTTATTTCCTTATACCTAACATAGTAATATCACAGTATGTGGTGTGTACATCTGTGTGTTCACTGTATAAAGGGTATGTATTTTAAATAACATGAAAACCTTTAAGTTTAAGTATACATGCACTTTACCTTGATGTAAATACAACAGTGAAAATCGATACCCAAGAATATTAACAGGAAAAACAACAGTGAAAATTAATATCCACTAATAATAACAGATTTATTTTATGCGTGTTTCAATAATAATATTTAAGGAGATCATTTTGGTAAGATGGGTGAAAACTCACCTGGTGCTGGTGCACCAATCCCCCCACCTAAGGTCCAGGAGCTCCACACCAAAACACCAGGGGGCGGAGCTGACCTGTCAGTCAGGAGTTCTACCAACCCCAATCAACCAACTGCTGAAGACGAAAGGAAAATGCAAGATATATTATCCAACCCAGAAATACGGGACATCATGATGGATCAATGGATACAAAAATTGTTTGAGAAAATGCGGACTGATCCAGTTTCTGGACAAAGGTAATCAATTTGTCATTACATTTATTAATAATGTCTTAACTGAGTAAAATGTAGTTAAATCAATTTTTATTTTCACAATGTTCTAGCTAGGATTTTCCAGGATGTATACTCACATTAGTGAAACAGGGTAACATTGTGTTATTTACAAATCAAGTGCTTTGGCAGAGGAAGCCCTGTTATAATAGAAGTATGAGTTTGACTGGGGCATTGGGGAACAGAACTTTCAGTTTTCATTTTATAGTAAAACGTGATGTGAACATTTGACCTTTAGATCCAAAAATTAATCCCAATCAAGTGTGATTGATGAAGGAGTACCACTGTTGACTGTCCAGATACTTGTTTCTGTTTTTATAAGTATTATGGTATGGGGTTGTCCGTCTGTCCATCGTAAACTTTTGTTTGTCTGGCAATCACCTCCTACATTTTTCGACCGATCTTTTTGAAACTCGGTATACATTATAATCATGATATAAAGTTGTGTCTCCCTGAAAAGAATTTTGATTCAACAATTTTTCCAAAAGTAATTGCCCTTTGTTCATTTCAGTATTTTATTTTTTGTCCGTAGATCTCCTTCTACATTTTTTGACGGATTTCTTTTAAACTTAGTAGGCTAAATAATCATGATATGTTGTTTTGTTTCCTTGAAAAGAATTTTGATTCAACAATTTTTGCAAAAGTTATTGCCCTTTGTTTATTTCAGTATTTGTTTATTGTCGGGCAATCTCCCCCTACATTTTTCAAAGTATCTCTTTGAATCTTGGTATACATTATAATCATGATATGAAGTTGTGTCTCACATAAAAAAAAATTGATTCGATGACTTTTCCAAAAGTTATTGCCCTCTGTTCATTTCAGTATTTGATTTTTTTGTACGGAGATTTTCTCCTGCTTTTTTTATAGCATATATCAGCTAACCACTCTTAGAATGATGCAGATCTTATTTCAATGTAAGAAAGTATATAACACTTTATGGCATTCAACGGGCGTATATTTTTCCGCCCCATGGTACTCTTGTTAAATATTAGTACAAATGTATTATGTTCTTCAGGTTCCTCCAAGAAGCTGATGTTGACAAAAAGAAAAAAATCCAGAAACTTGTTGACGCAGGGTTACTACAGTTCCAGAGATGATGTTGACAGATGATAGCTCTGAGCTACCCCCAATGTCTGTATAGACCGAATGTGTAGGTACACCCAACTGAAGGCAGCCATGTAAACACTGTCACAATGACAGAAGCAGGTTGAACATTATAAATGGACGCAAAGTAAGGGAGATTACCAGTGATTTGCGTTTGTCTCCAAGTTTAACCGATGTACAGTGTATATCCATGGAAACCGGACTATTTCACAATCAGTCAATTTGATACCAACAAGGAATTTTAATCGATTAAAATTCAATCTTGTTCAATACACTTGTTGTGATAAGTTGTTGGACTGTAACTGTACAGTTGGCTGATGTTATACATTAAGGCTCTCCATGGTTAATTGCTTTGTAACTGCTGAATTGATGATCTGTTTTCTGTAAAAAAAAAAAAAAACACCACAGGAGCTGTCATTGTTAACACAGCAATATTCCTTTTATAAAAGTTCAATGAACAATATTGTTAACAGCCATGATAGAACAACAAGAACCATCTGACCTGTAAACATGCTTACAATGAAATGTGTTACTACTGTCGAAAATAAAGCTAATTATTTTCATATTGTAACAGTGTTTTATTTTTAATCATGTTTTCATAATAGGTTATGTCTTTTTTAGGGAGTTATGGGTTTAGGGAGAGATTGCATTAGAAGGAAAATTGGCTAAAATGTCAAAATTCTTCCTCTGATGAACCTAAAATGCTAAATCAAAGATTTCTTCATAGATAAAGATGTTGACCATTAAAAACACAGGGGAAAATATACCCCAGAGGCCACCACAAAAAAATGGGGAAATGCACACAGCTATCACAATAAACAAAGGAGAAAATACACACAGCTATCACAACAAACAAAGGAGAAAATACACACAGCTATCACAATAAACAAAGGAGAAAATACACACAGCTATCACAA